ACCCGGTGGCTTAAACTCACGCCAGGTGCATGTGCGTATGTGCCCAAGATCCCAAGAGGAGAGTGGAGGAGAAGGGGTTGCGGCGTGGCCATCCGCTCTGAGGGGTGATTTCTTGCTTTCTGTCTCTCTGTTTCTCTCTGTCTGTCTGGCGAGTGCACGCACCCTATAGCAAAAACCTCTCCCCCCCAAAAAAATAAAATAAAATAAAAAGGAAGGAAGACAGAGACAAAGAGACAGAAAGTGAGAAATCACCCCCTGGGAGGATGACCAGGCCACAATCCCTTCTGCCCCCGGGGATCTTGGGCACGCACGCACACACATGCACCCGGCGTGTGTTTAAGCCACCGGGTCCAGGACTCAAACCATGGTCGACTACATGGGATTCCAGCGACATAGCCATTACGCCAACTGCTGGTCCCAGAGCATTTTATTCTTAAGAGAGATTTTAAGGATGCGTGCGCTTGTTGGAGACAGAAAGCAAGAAATCACCCCCAGGGAATGGTCACGCTGCAATTCTTTCCTCTCCATTCTCTTCTTGGGATTTTGGGCATACATGCACACATGCCTGGCGTGAATTTTAAGCCACCAGATCCAGGACTCAAAGGCAATTGACTATAAGTCCAGTGCCGTAACCATTATACCACTTCCTGGTTCTTTGGTTGTTTCTTAATTGCCAGAGGGCACATGCACTCACCAGAGAGAGGAAACAGAGGAAAGGTGAGAGAGAATACCCCTATGGGGTATAGTCATGCTGCAATCCCTTCTCCTCCATTTTCCATTCTGTCTGGATTTGGGACACCTATGTGCTATGCCACCAGGACCGGGATTCAAACTATGTTCAGCCATGCGGGATCTGGCTCCCTTTACCACTAGGCTATAGGGTCAGTCCAAAGAGAAAATACTAAAATTCCAAGTTACTGTCCCAGTGAAAAACTTATGAATGCTACCTTCACTAACTTATAACATGAACAGGGACTAGCTTTGCTAAACAAGCCTGTGAGAAACATTTCAATTTATATAAATGACTATTTTTTAGTATTTAGAAAGATATGCCCTGTGTGGGTAGCACAATCTGTGGAGTACTAGACTATGGTACTACAGGCCACATGGCCAACCATGGCTTCAGGTTCCCACAATGGCCTGCAAACATGCCACATGGTAAGTGAGTGCCCAGTGTCCTGAAGCTAGAGGACTGGGTAAAGGAGACTGCAGCACGACAAGACCCCACTGAAGGTGCTTTCTATCCTTTCTTTCTCACACATGCACTCGCATATGCCCATGGGAGTATGGACAACTGATGGGCTAATCAGAAAGAATTCCTTTCTCTTGAATTTTCTTTTAAAGAATTATTTTTACCTCTTTATTTTTAATTTGACCAGAGAGGGAGGGAGAGAGAGAAAGTGAGAAAGTAAGCTGCCATGTCTAGGACTGGAACTGCGGTTGACCATGTGGGAGTCCAACCCTCTTAAGCACCCCACCACCTGTCAGCCCCTTGAAATGAGTTTTTAAGTAGTCAGGACTAGCTTTCCAACAACTGGTTATTCTGAGTATATTACTATTCACATTGGAAACAGTGGAATATAGTTTTCTTTTAGGTTTCTATTTAAACTATAGGACTACTGAAAGAGGCAGTAGGGAACAGCAGATGGCACAGCAGTTACACTGCTGGACTCCCACGTAGTTAACCACGTTCAAGTCCTGGATCTGGCAATTTAAAATTTATGCCAGATGTATATGCATGCATATCCAAAATCCCAAGGGGAGAATGGAGCAGAAGGGACTGTGGCATGGCCATCCCCCAGAGGGGGGTGTGTGATTTCTCACTTTCTGTGCCCTATAGCAAAAAATTTCTCTAAAAAGAAAAAGGCACTAAAACCAGTTGCTGAGGAGCCAGTAGGTGGCGTGGAGGTTGGGACTGCTGGATCCCACATGACCACTCGGCAGTTTCAGTCCCAGGCCTAGAGGCTTGAAAAATACACTGGCTGCTTATGCATACCTTCCCCAAAATCCTGAGGAGGATGGAGAAGAGGGGACTGTGGTGACTATCTCCCGTGGGGGTGATTTCTCACTAGTTCCCTCTCTGCGGGGAGTGCACACGCCCTTATAGCTAGTAAACAGATCATTGCTGAATGAAAAGCAAATTTGCTATAGGGCACATGTGCTTACCAGAGACACAGAAAGAAAGTACTTCCAGAAGGGATGGCCCTGCTGCAATCTCTTTTCTTCCATTCTCTTCTTGGGATTTTGGGCAAACATGTACACATACCCCGTGTGTTTCTCAAGCCACCAGATCTAGGAGTTGGAACCACACAGTCATGTGGATTCAGTCATGCAGGATTCAGCTACTGAAGTTTCCAGAGTTGCTGGAAGGAACAGTGATCTAACCCACACCCAGTGCTCAGAGGGGAACGGGAGGCCCAAGTGCTCAAGATCAAAGGAGGGTGGATAAATGGGAATTATTACTTAATCCATAAGGTGTTTATTTCATTTGCGTAGTTAGAGCTTCCTCAGTATATTTGTACACTCTCACTTCTTGACAAGTAAGCCTAAGTCAAATCCAAGTCATTCGCATGGTATTTCTCTCATCAGTTGACAGAGGAACTGTTTTCAAACTGAGACCCCCTGGGAGTCCTGCAGGCCATTAGAGCATGGAGTGTTAAGTATTTCCTCCCTCCCAACCACAGGGACTCAGCTTTTATCTGAGTTAGACATCAGGGAAGAAAGGAGTACCTGGAACTCAAAACCAACATTATAAGACAGAACTTTACAACAAACCGAATGTAAGAAAGGTGCTCAAGTCACAACAGAACTACAGAATATCCAAACCCCCCAAATACACACCAAGTATTCACAAGGCAAAGTGGTCACAGTCATGCATCATGCATTTAATAAACTAGATGATGAACACTAATAAACGGTTCCCAAGAACCTAGAATTTCTTTCTGAACATTGTGTTTGGGAAAAAGGAAATCAGTAATGACATGAGAAATTCAGTAAAGAAAAAATTTTGACATCGAGCTAGCTGGTGGCATGGTGGTTAATGCAGCTAGATCCCACATGGCCAAGTTGTGCAGTTTGAGTCCTGGACTGGTAGGTCGAAAACAGTCTGGGTGCATGTGTACGTATGCCCCAAATATCCCAAGAGAACAGAAGGATTATGGTGTGGCCATCCACCTAGGGGATGATTTCACATAAACTCCCATCTCTCTCCAGCAAGTGTAGAGCAAAAACTAAAAACAAAACAAAAAAACTTGTGCTTAGCCAGATGACATTCTGGAATAAAGTATATTTTGTCAAGTCTTTTTTCTGTGTTTCTGGAAAAGTCCTGTCCCCAACACTTCCATCTCCCCAGGAACTTATCAACTAATGCATTCTGCAAGAGGACTCTGTTCCCTCTTGAACGGTCATCACTATTCTAATACTTATAACACCAACTCTTCCAGGGCAATGGAGAACAGAAGCAATCTCAGCATCACTTCAGCAGAAAGGCATAAAGGAGTTTCTGCTTATTTCTCAGCTAGTCAGAAAATTCGATTTAATTAAAACAATGTGTTTCCTGTAATCTAATGGCCTCAATTGCATACTCCATAGCTTAAAAATTGATAAGAGTGTGGGGCCAGGAGGTGACATGGTGATTAAGGCACTGGACTCACACGTGGCTAACCACAGTTGTAGTCACAGATCTGAACGGCTTGAAGATCAAGGCAAGTGGGTATGCATGCATGCCTCAAATCCCAAAGAGAGCCAGCAGGTGGCATGGTGGTTAAGGTACTGGACTTCCACATGGCTGACCATGGTCGGAGTCCTGGACCCAACATCCTGAAGCTCATGCAGGGTTATGTGTGCACGCATGCCCCAAATCCTAAGAGAATGGAGAAGGGCCATCATGGCCATTCCCACTTGGGGGATGATTTCTCACTTTCTTTGTATTTCCAGCCAAGTGCATACACCCCATGGCAAAACAAAAACAAAAACAAAACTCTCTTACCAACAAACAAACAAAAGTCCCAAGAGGAGAATTGAGGAGAAGGAATTAAAGAATTGAAGTGTGGTCATTCCTCCTGGGGGGAGGTGATTTCTCACCTTTATTTCTCTCTCTCTCCAGGGAACACACGCACTCATAAAAACAAAACGACAACAACAAATTGGCAGAGTAATGTCTTGATGCTTTTCAACTATTCCCTTCAAATAAGTTACAATAACATAACATTACCATTGGATTACTCTTTGAATCTTTGCAGAAATTTGACTGAATTGTAGACTATCAAAGGAAAAGTGGTATACATACCGAGTCTGGGCATAACAGCTCCCAGAAACTGCTCATCTTCTTGGAAGTGGTTCTCTTGTAAAGATTCCAGCAATTTCTGCAGGACATCTTGGGGCACTTTGCAGCCTGTGCCCTTCAGTTCAGTGAATCTGGTTAGCCTGAAGCTCTTGTCCAATTCATAACTTTCCGGGTTAAAGGACTCCCGCGTAGACATGGTTCTTGGGCCCACGCTCCTCCCAGCTCAACCTCTCCCCTCCCTCTCTTGGTTGGCTGGGTTCTTTCCAGATCCTCCTGAGTATCAACAAACACAAACATATCAATGAAATAATTTGGACCCATTGGGAAAAGTAAATGTGACAGATGGTGAAATCACCAAGAGCACAGGGAAAGAAAAGTACGGGCCACAACTTCTTGTCCTTCGGTGACACATAATAAATTATTTTAGAAAGGGACCACACCACCACAGACATCCATGGAAAGGGACTCGACATCTGAAGAGCAGTTACAGTGACTCTAAGAGCGGGCCAGGAGACTTCCTCTCAAGAGGGAAATATGGATAGGCCAGTAGGCTCACAGGACACTATGTCACCTTCCCCGTAAGTACCAAAAGTTATTCAAAGCTGCAGCTTTAGAACAGCACCGCTGACTGGGACCAGCAGATTGTGTAATGGTTAGTTGCTGGATTCCCACATGGCCGACCATGGTTCAAGAGCTAGACCCCGTGGCTTGAAACTCAGGCCAGGCACATGTGCATAGATGTGTAAAATCCTTTAAAGAGAATGAAGGAGAAAAGGTTGCAGTGGGGCCAATCCCTCTTGGGTGAGGGAGAGGGTATTCTTGCTTTCTGTCTCTGTCTCTCCAGAGAGCGCATACCAAAAATCTCTCTTAAAACAACAACAAAAGAGAAGAGCAGCACCACTGGTCACTTCACCAGTCACCCTGGGAGTACTATGATTTAACCATTACAGGTCCTAGTCATGCCTTTCTCCTGGAAAACCTCTTGGTATCTTTTGCTCTCTCTCACAGATAAATAAAATGCTTAATACAATCCACAGAAAAGGCCATCGGTGCAAATGCTTCTTTTTTTTTTTTTTTTTAGAAAAACGTGTTTTCCCTCTGAGAGGGAACTACACAATACAATTCCAAATAGGAGGCACAACTTAAACACTGGAATGGCTTTATAGCACAGCCAGGTTCAGTTTCCTCAAGAGAGCGCTTGGGAAATTCTGTTTTAACACAGTGTTATTTCCTAGAGAGCAGACAGACATCCGCCCAGCAAACTAGTACACATTGACACAATATGCTACTGCTCATTACCAAACTCACTGCAGAACTAAGAGAGTAAATTAAACCTTGGTAAATCGCTACCATTTATGGTACTGGGTACCTCGCTAAAGTTTCTGGGACAAGTCCTTCAATGTAGGAAGCATTTGGACCTAACACAAAAAACAATCATGTTCTCGCTCCCAGGGCTTACAAACCTTCGGATTGATACTTTACTAAGCATAGAATTACAGACTTTCCAAGTTTTAGTCAGTTTCCCCTATAAAATATATGATTAAGAACATAATTCCTATTTATAGAATTTTCATTCCTTGGGAAGTACATCATTTATTTAAAGTAAGTTTCACCAAGCTGGAGTTAGGACAGTAATCCATCAGGCACAAAAACTTGTTTGGGATGAACAATGATTGAGTGGGAATCCTCCGACTGTACAGCAGTCAACTTCTAAACACAACTCCAAGAAACAAACCTGCCCTGAAAGAGTAGGTCAGCAAGGCAAGTTACAAGATAGGAATTCTGAAGCCATTTCAAGAGTTAGGAAAAAAGTTTGAATAGCACTTTGACTTGGAAAGTTTCCCGACAAAACGCCATGCAGTGACACCACCTCACTCCTACCAGGGGGAAAATCCAACCCATCAGGCGTCCAAGGATGTTCCCACCGCCAATCTTTATCCCCTCTCCACCGAAAAAAAGGAAGGAAGGGAATTTGGAGGGACTAACTTCCTTTCCACAGATTTTGTTCACGAGGGGGATGTTTAAAAACTACCTAAACCAAGGAAAGACGCAGGAGTTTCAGAATTCCAAATGGAACGAGGGGCACAAAACACCGATTCACATCCCAACTGTAACCCGAATAAGATAAATTCTTACATTTTTGTAAGGAATGGGAAGGGGGAGGGGGTCCCTGGGGAAGTTCGGCGTTTAACTAAGAGAAAGAGGGGATCCATTTCCTTAAGAGACAGTCTACTCAGACTGAGGAGCCACATGTTTACACCTTTAAAACAATGACATGAATATTTAAAGACAATGTTTAACCCTTTCCTGTCCGGGCACGTTTCCATTTTTTTCCAAACAAGCGCGCGGCGCGCGGGGTCGGCGGGCGGGAGCGGGGCACCGGGCCCGGTACCTACCTACCCGCCAAGTCCCCAAACCCCGGGCGTGCACAATGGGGTGGGCACGGCGGCGTGGGTGCAGGGGCCCGGCGCTCTCCATGAAGCCCGCGTCGCAGGCGGCCAAGCACGGAGAACGGCACTCGGGGACACCTTAAATCTCAGGCCACCGCCTTTAAAGGCACGGCAGGCCCGGGCCGCGTTCTTTGTGCGGCGCGGCGCTGCAGGCTGGCTGCCGAGCGGAGGCAGCGCGGCACC